TATTTGCTTTGCTTCTTGTTTTCTAATTTAACTGTATCTATATTCTATATTTAAAGTGACTTCGTCTTTTTAACTAAATTCCTAATAAATTTTCCTAGTTGTCTATAAAAAATCCAGTTCTTATCTTATATACCTCTTTTCTATTAGTTAGTTATATATTATGTCCTATCAATTTTTATTATATGTCTATTTGTTTACCTGTTTTTTATATGTTTGTATTACAAGATCTGATCTATGATTCTAGGTAACAATAATTCCTTAAAAAATTAAAAAATTTTTTAAAAATTTTTTGAATTTTCTTTACTTCTTCTTATTTTCTTGTAGTAGCAATAAATTTTTCTTGTTTTTCTACTATGTAATATATGTTTTCTTGCTATCTTTCTTTTTATTTAGTACTTTTGGTACTATTTCTTAGTCTTGATTTTGACTTATTTCTGTTTTTTCTTTAGCTTCAGAATTAGTAAAAATGATCTACTGAAAGAGTTTTAATACTATCTGTTATTTCTAACTGTTGTTTTATCTATTAGTCAAAGCTCTTTACTTGTTTTGCTATTATTATATACTGATGCATCTGTATTTTAGTTACTCTTATGTCTTCTATCTCTTTAGTTAATGCTTTTTTGGGTTTGTTTGCTAATATATCTTTAGTATCTCTGACTATTAATACTAGCATATTAGATATATTATAACTACTAATCAGCTTTTGTAATTCAAATTCACTTTCATGAGAACTTTTTTGAAATTAGTCTTTTTACTAATAAGCTCATCTTCTATTTCTTCTTTATAATCTAATATGTTGATGACTTTGTCTATTCACTCCATTATTGTAGCTCTTTTAATTACTGCTTACCAATACTTTGTAACTTTGATAATTTCTAAATCGAGTCTTATTAGCTTTGCTACTATTTGATCTAAATATTTTTCTAAACCTAAAACTAAGTTGCTACCTTTTATTGCTATCTCATTTTCATATTTTTATGTAATTTCATATATTAACTTGGTCATCTTTTTTTTGTTTCATATTTCTTTTTAGTTAATTGCTTTTTTAGCTTTTACTTAGTAAAAAATTTAAAAATTCTATATATTTTTGTTGAAAACTCTAGAAGTTGTCTAGTTTGGAGTTAGCATCTATTCTCTAGTTTGTTGCTATTATATGTTAAATTTTAGCTATGTAATTATTGTTTATACTTCTTATTTATTAGTTTTTATATATCTTATGATTTTAGTATCTTGATATTCTATTTAGTAAGATCTGTACTATCTAGTTTTGGTAAAATAATTGACAAGATTTTTAGAGTTTTGTTGTTTTTCTAAAAAAAATTTTAATGATGAAAAGTTTTTACAATATTTAGTTTTCTAATCTTTTTTTTAGTCTATGTTTCTGTATTTTCAGTTTTCTTTTATTATCCCTTAGATTGTAAGCCAACACAGACAAATTTGCCTGCATTTTTACATTTATTCAGCTTTGATTTACTTTTTAAAATACAAAAATATTAAAAAAATAATTATAAATAATAAAATTTGAAAATAAGAATTATCCTTTTGCAGTATTTGTTTTTATATTATAAGAAAAAAATTTTGGATTATATATGAGCTAAAAATAGCTAATTTTGTAAAAAAATTTTTTGCAAAAATTTTGTCAGTATTTTGAGGCGAACTTGTTTAATTTAAGTTTTAGAAATATAATTTATTAAGCAATTTGATAAAACTTTTAAAGGATTACAACTTTAATTATTAC